TCTTCAGACGCATTTCTCCCTTGTGGATTGGGATAACGCCATCTGCGGTCGCCACCGGAGGGAAGTCACCGAACTGGACTGCTATCATGTTGGTAGAGACAGTCTTCTGTTCGGGTTTCAGAGTAAGCACTTTAGCGTCCACCAAATTCTGGAGGATGTCCTTAAAGATGTAACATCTTCTGGTAGGATGCCCTAGGAACCTGTGATAGCGGCAGTAATTAGGGTCATCTACCTTTCCTGCCTCCTCTGGCTTCCTAATTTCAGGAAGCTGTAACTTGTTGTTCTTCCGCAGTAGCTGGAATAAAGTGTCCACATGTTCTTCCTTGAAGGAATACTGTTTGGGCACTTTTTGCTTATTGGGAGCTTTGCCTTGATTCGTGGGCGGTGGTACCCGAGAGTAGTCGGCTGCTAGGGTCTCTTTTCCCTTAGACCGCTGAGCGTTGTTCTGGTTGCGTTGCTGTTGCTGTTGCTGTTGCGGCTTGGGTTGTGCAGCTTCCTCGGCTTTCACCCGAGCTACGATCTCTTCAGCTTGTTCTCCTTGCGAAACAAGTTGTCTCCAGGAGCGACACTCTGCTACCCCCATCTGGGCAAGGAGCTGAGTCTGCAGGTTGTGCCTGCAAGTTTCAACCAGGGTTGACTGAGTCATACCTGAGGGGCATCGCAATGCCATGCTGCGGAATCTCTCCACGTAGGCCTTGATTGATTCGCCTTTCCTCTGTTTGGTAGCGAGAAGAGTCGGGACCGAAACTTCTGTATCGTCCTCGAAGAACCTGGCCAGGAAAAGCCTTTCTAAATCTACCCATTTCTGAATAGATCCAGCAGGCAGTTTCATAAACCATTCAAATGCCACTCCTTTAAGAGTGCCAATGAACAATCGCGTCAAGATGGCATCGTTCGCCACCACATCTCCAGTTTGAGATTTGAAATAGTAGATGTGTTGATTTGGCGATCCTGTGCCATCGAACGGTTGCAAGGTTGGAGCTTTAAACTTTGACGGGTATGGAGCTATATCCCATTCGGCAGGATAAGGTCTCACCACTCCTTCTTCACGGAGCTCACTTCTGTTGGCGATTGCATTGAGGCGAGCTTCTAGTTCATCCATTTTAGTGGATTGAGGATGCAGTTCTTTTTCCACCTCCTTTTCACCCTCAGAAGAGGATCCCAAGTTGAGAGTCTCACGATCCGAATGCTCGGTCGCTTTCTGCTTCCCTTTTGAGGTTGTCCTCCGGGAAGATTCGGGTTTGTGGCCTTTTTCAGCAATAAGTTGGGCCATCATGTCCTTCAATTGGAGAAGTGTCTCCTGTTGCGCCTGGAGCATGACCTGGTGTTCGTTCACTCTCTTGGCTATGTCCTCAGGATTTCCCGCCATGTAAGCAGATACTTCTTGTGGTCCGACCGAGCTCGAAGATTGAGATTCGGCTATTGCCGAATGCTCATCACTTGTTGTAATTCCTTTGGCCAACTTTTGATAGTTAACCGGGCGAATAGCTCCTGTCTGAGTCCGAGTATGCCTATAGACTCCCTCAAATTCATCACAAATTTCCCGAACAGTCGGGGAATGACTTGTTTGTGACTCATCAGAATCAGGATGTGAGGATTTGCCTCTGCCGACCATGTTGATGGTGACCTCAGGATATTCAATTTCAGAGGTCTTCTTCTTGTGGCGACGCTGTCGTTTAGCAGGTCTAGCGACATTCGTCAACCTATTAAACACCGATTGCCTAGGCGTCGATGAGCAACAACTGCATTCGGAGAGGACAGCAGAAATGAGCCGTTCACACTGGCATGAATGAGCCACTTGCTGTGTTGGCTTTCCTCTTGACAGCAATTCACGCAGGTCGGAGACCTGAGAAAGATCTCGTGAAGGTGGAGATGGAACCCCCTGCCCTTGGATGGGTTGAACATGAATCTCAAATCCATGTTGTCCCTTTTGAACCTGACGGACCGTGTCATGCTCTTGATAAGAAACACGAGAGTCGCGTTTAGGTTTATAAACACGAGGCTGAGGCCTGTGTTTGATTGATGGACTAGATCCTTGTGGATCTTGTCCTGATTGAACGCACACTTGTGGTGTGCGTTTTGATGTTGAAACAGACCCCTGAGGGTCGTTCTTTGTTTGAACGCACACTTGTGGTGTGCGTTTAGATGAAGAAACAGATCCCTGAGGGTCGTTCTTTGCTGGAACGCACACTTGTGATGTGCGTTTGGTTGATAACCCAGACCCCTGAGAGTCGGGTTTTGATTGAACGCACACTTGTGGCGTGCGTTTGTTTGATGACCCAGACCCCTGAGGGTCGGGTTTTGATTGAACGCACACTTGTGGCGTGCGTTTGTTTGATGACCCAGACCCCTGAGGGTCGGGTTTTGATTGAACGCACACTTGTGGCGTGCGTTTGTTTGATGACCCAGACCCCTGAGGGTCGGGTTTTGATTGAACGCACACTTGTGGCGTGCGTTTGTTTGATGACCCAGACCCCTGAGGGTCGGGTTTTGATTGAACGCACACTTGTGGCGTGCGTTTGTTTGATGACCCAGACCCCTGAGGGTCGGGTTTTGATTGAACGCACACTTGTGGTGTGCGTTTGGTTGTTTGAACAGACCCTTGAGGGTCTTGTTTTGACTGAACGCACGGTTGTGGCGTGCGTTTGAATGATTGAACGTGCCTTTGGAGGTCACGTTTTGGGACGCACTTTTGAGGTGTGCGTCTATGTTGAACAACGCGCCACTGAGGGTCGCGTTTGAGTTGAATAACCCGAGGCTCATAGTCGGGTTCATTGCCACGAAGTGTGCGTTCTGGAGCAGAAACGCACAGTTCGGGCACAAGCTCAGAAACGCAGTCTTTGCGTTGTGCAGTAGCTTGGCTGTTCCGCAAGTATGCTCGCCGTAAGGATCTTCTCCTTCGTCGAGCAGCATTTTTCTTAGCCTGTTTCAAGGCCTTGGCCGCGGCATCGTCGGCGTTGGTTGGGCTTTCCTCCGACATAGGTCTTTTTTGACCTATTATTTGCCGTAGTGATACGGGGGAGGAATCTTCAACTCGCAGAGCGAGTTTAAGGTCTTGGCCAAAGGAGAGGGCTTTCTTTGGCATCTCAGCAGTAGTGTTGACCTCCGTAGAGGTCCTGTGGGTATCACGCCTAGCTTTTGGGCTAAGGGACCCAGAGGAGAGGACCTCCTCATACTTGGCTTGGTCGAACTCTACGACGAGAGTTTCGACGGTGGTTCCTGTAAGGTGAACGTCGGATTGCGCCACCACTTCCTCGTCAGAGAAGCTAGTCCCCAGCGGAGTCGCCATCTTTTGTTTGTTGGAAATTTGATGTAAAAAGACAAAGAAAGAAAATTTGACTTGTATTCTCTCAAAATCGATTACAATTTGGATTCCGATTACAAAAGAGAGGAGAATGAATTTGATTCTCCCCTTTGTTTAAAACTGGGTTCTTCTTGGTAGCGGTGGAGTGCCTCCTTCGATTGATCGCGTCGAACTTGCTCTCCGTTGACGATCCGACCGTCCTTCTTCACTGGAACAATTGAAGTGCTTGATGACTTCGGTTTAGAACTCTTAACGAGTGTAAAGAACTCTGAACGAGTTAAGAACTCTGATAAGAGTTGTTGAAAACCGAATGTCTGGTTTGATGTGATTAACTTGCGTTGCAAGCTAATTAAGAACTCTTAACGAGTTTAAGAACTCAGAATGAGTTAAAACTCTGTAACAGAGTTGTTGGAACCGAAAATTCGGTTAATTGCCAAGTGGATGATACCTTTGATGAAAGGATCCTTCGGGATTTGATTAACTGATCGTTGATCAGTTCCTTGATCTCCCGAAGATCTCTTCCTTCCGATTACTCAACTGCCGAGATTTGTTGACCTTGGGTGGTTTTGATACCAGCTCCCCTCAACTCTTTGCGGTTTTGATCTCAGAAACCGATTGATCAACCTATCAACCCGCCAACCCCTTACTCAGTTGAGTAAGTTGGTTATTTATAGGGTGATGTGGAGTGCAACCAACCCCTATTTCCGCTCCTTTGTGGGCGAGAATCCCTCAGAACGTGGGATAACGGTTTTGAGGCCGTTCGACTTGCGTTTGAACAAGTCAAAACGCCTCAGTTGGCGTTATGGGCTTTAACTCTGCGTCCAAGGCTTGAGATGCAGAGTTAAATCTCTGTTAGAGATTTGAGACGCACAGGCCGTGTGCGTTGAAGCTCAACTCTGCGTCCAGAGTTTGGGACACGTAGTTGAACCTATTGAAGAACGCACGTTATGTGTGCGTTTGGTGCTTGAACTCTGCGTTGCAGAGTTAGACATTCGCTGGAGAACGCACAAGTTGTGTGCGTTTCGAATTTGAGAAACGCAGAATTAAACTTCTACGTTTGATAGAGGTTGTTGACTTGTAACATCGTCTGCCATGACATTGCAAAGGCCATTGTTTATTGGTCTTTGCCTGTTATAAGATATGAGAGTCGTCAGATTGTAACTCTCACCAACGATCGTGAAGGCCACTGAATAGGGTTTTCATCAGCTGTCGGAAGCGTCGTCAAATTGTAACTCTTCTCGATCTGTGTGAAAAGTCTCCTATTGCCCCTTCCGACTGTCGACCCGAAAGCTATTTGATTGTAGCTTTCGTTGTGAGAGCTTGACGGGAATCAACATCCATAGTGTTTTGAAGATGGATATTTGCCCACAGCTCTCTACCAAGCGACTCACCAACTAAGTCCAACCTTTTATTTCTGAAATCATTACACTGCTCATCAGCATCTCTAATAGTTGCTAATATAATATTAGTCATGCTGTTGTCGCAGTCATCAAGATCAATTGTCTCAGAGATGAGGCCTTGTTTATAGCGGTTGCAGAGTTGCGGATGCAGTGATTAGAAAGTCGTCTGATTGTAACTTCCATTATCAGGGCTTGATAGGGATTAGCTATCCATTGTGATTTTTAGACAGCCTACACTAAACAAGTAGTTTATCTCATCAAAAACATAAATATGAGGATGATGAACAGTCAAAACATTACCTGTATTGCTGCTCAACTTTGTACACGTCAGGTGCAAGTTCCCGACAAACTTCGCACCAATCTGCATAAAATTCAACAACAGTAGGCAACCCATTTGAAAGAGCCTGCAAATGAGCAAGAGAAGGATCTGTTTAATATAGATGAGATAGACCTGGGGGAAGATCTTTATTCTCTAGCATTAGCAGCATGGTTTAGGACTTGGGAGTATCCATCAACATGCAGAATATAAGCAAAACTTGAAAATGGTTTCGGATATTATCTAACGATATGTGCTGCAAGGCTTTAAAATGGAGATAGAATGTAGGCATGATTGAAAGTAATTTATAGCAGAATACGATATTCTGCTCTATAGGGAAATGAAGCAACCAAACAATGTACTTTATGAGATATGAATTGGAGGTAGATTCATAACAAAGAAGAGATTGAAGGACAGAGAAAATAAACTTACAGAAAGTGTACTAACCTCTTCATATGGTATGGCAGAAGCAGATAGATCCTTCAAAGAGACACCAAAATCAAGTCGGGATGATAGGAAAAGCCCGACAGCAGAGACAGTTGAAGCCAAAGCAATCCGTCTGTTAATAGATTTATTTGGAAATTCTTCAAATTCAACATTTTGTGAAACACTGGAGGTTTCAATGTCATCCTTAACTGGTTCTGGCTTGACAGTTGAAGCATCCTGCACCAAAAAAGCATGAAGTTACACCCAGTAAACATGTCACAAGTTCGGGAACGTTATGAAAATGTGAACATGTTAAACAATATATTTTAGGAGAGACACATTAAGTCTTCTCATTAAACCACGAGTTTCTACTTTACGCAGTATATAAATAAACAACTATCGAGGTCATAAGCTTTAGCCAAAGCAATAAAGTATCCCTTTAACCAACCCTATGAAATAAATCAGATAAAGAATTAAATGGAGTGTCATCTGAATCTTGCTGATTGATAACAGTATTTTGTTCCTACAATGGTCAAATCCTTACAATACTAACACCAAATTGCCTCGCTCAATCTAAGTTACTTAATACATGGGATGCGGGGGGAGAAAAAGAAAAGGAGGAAATAGGGTCTCATCATATAACAAGTTCTACTTTCAGCTATTTTGGTGGTGGAAGCTAAATAGCTTGAATCCAACTAATCCTAAGAGGTGTAACACATTTCTATTCACAATCTTACCATATGCCGTCTCAAAATCTAACTCTAGCATATCTCGTACTAATTTGAATAATAATTATACATATGCAGAAACCCATCCTGTTTTATTTGACCCTGAATCAAAAAATAATCTTCCTAACTCCTTTCTCTTCAACCCATCTCTTGTAAATCTCAATTAGTTCTTCCTTTGATAAACATGCAATCTAATCTTTCCCTGTTGCAAAGTTTTTTTTAATAATATTTCATATGGATACTTACAATCCCACTTCAACGGGAAAAAATATAATCAAGATTGAAACTGAAATAAAATCGCTGAACAGAAAGAAGATAAGAGAGCTAAAGCTGACCGTTGATGGGGGGCTAACGGGAGGCTCGACGCTGTTAGATTTCACAGAGCAGCGTAGATTCGGGGGGCTGCGCTGAGGTCTGCTCACCGACCGGTGAGGATACCAGGAGCATGAGGGTGACGAGTGGACGCAGGGTGCGAAGTCGAGGAGGAGACCAAAGGGATGGGAAACGGCACGTGCCATAACTAGCTACCTCTTGGTGCTGCCCTGTTTTTGGTCGCAGAAAATGGAGAAAGGAAATGGGAGGGAGGAGGCTCTCGTCCACTGAACTGGTGTTTGATGCTGCCACGCCTGAACTCTTCTCGTCACGCGCAACGCACGAGATCAAGGGATTAGTGGACATCTGCATGGTGAAAGTGGATTGTGGGCTGTGTTACTACGCAAGACATTTGTTTGTAGAAAAAGGAGCCCAAATGTCAAACTTCAATCCAACTTCAAGGGCCTCTGACGGTCTGCATTCTTAGTACACTCGTTTAGGGGTTGTTTGATTGTTGTTGGTAAAGTTGTGTATTTATGACACCACTTAGAAAGTTATTGTCCACCTTATTAATTTCACTGAGCAACTTTTCTTTGTTTGTTTTTTTATTCCATTGGAATCATAAATTGCTTGTTTGGTTTGCAAAATGTAACTTTAATTATTTATTTGGAAAGTGTAAAAAGTGGTGTTATGGTAATTTACCATCTAAAGATGAAGATACTGAAAGATTGTCTGCATAGGCTTAAAAAAGCCATGGTCCAAACCAGCTTAGAGGCCCAAAAACCCAGCCAATGGCAAGTCTATCGGCTAACCAGATCAATGGTCATCATTACCGACTCGAAGTGCGAGATTAGTCGGTCCCTCATAATTAAGACGACTACTCGAGCAGACGTCTTGACCATACACTCGACCCGAAGCTCACTCGGCTGTCGGGTCGGGAAATCATAAAGACAACTCACGAACCGACCCGCCTCTACTAAGGGGATGAGATCCAGCTAAGCTCACTTCAGATGTCAATCGACACTACAACATTGATCAGTCCCATCAAGATTTCCTCTCTGACAAATCCTGTGCATAAGCCGCTTACTCACAAGTCATTTCCCAGGGATCGCCATGATGCTCCCCTGGGCTCGAATGACTTCCCATCCAATCATCAGCCGCCATCTGGAGGGGGAAGAACGACCAAGCAGCTGACCTATCCTCTGCCCTGCCTCATCTGTCAAATCCAGGATACTGAGAAGATATTTCTCTCCTGTACTCGAATGACTTCCCTTCCAATCGCCAGCCGACATCTGGAAGGAGAAGGATGACTCAGCAGCCTGCCTGCTCACCCCTCAACTGCCTCCTGTGCATAGTCAAAACCAAATGGTCAAACTCTCAGAGGCTATGGGCTATAAAAAGAGGGAAATGGGGATTTTTTTCTGCTACTTCTTCACAAAAGCTTTGAATTTACCTTTGCTAAAAAGAACTAATAGCTCTCAAAGAGTACCCTCTAAGGACCTCAATGGCCCAGAGACTCTCCCTCAAACCTCACTCAAGCTCACCAGCTGACTTGACCGTCGGAGGTATCACGTGGGAAATGAGCCCCGCCCTCTCACGTGTTTCTTCTTATTTGTGCAAAAGGATCAGGAATTCCAGTCTAAGGATCGGGCATAAAGTCGGAGGAGGAGTCGGCCCCATCTCTCATCCTCTTCCTATTCGCCGCCAGCGCGAAGACCAGAACCGCAACCCCCTCGACTGTGTGATATCAAACATCAACAAGTGGTTATTTTGTGGTCCCTACTTAAATGATTCCATTGGCCTAGCCCCCTCACTTCTGACACATATGACAACTTTCCTTCAAAATCAGACCATTTTGAAGGGATTTGTGAATCCATGCCACATCAGCATAGTAAATCACTTTACATTTTTTTATAACTACAAACAAACAATTGAAAAGGAGGAAAGCTGACATTAGGACCCACTTTTTTACACTTTCCATCTTTTTACATAGTAAAACTTACAAACCAAACAGCCCCTTAAGACGTGACCATCAGGATTTGGGGTTTTTCAACGCAATTTATTAAAAAGAGTATTTACTTTTTACACAAGCTTAACTTTAGCTGATGACGTTGCAAGAAGAAAAAAACAAAAGTATGAGAAACATATCGTGGATAATGTGCCGAATTAGTTATAATTCTTAATAAACCTGACACATTTCATGAAAAATGTTCTAATAATGAGGGGTCTCATACAATTTTTCCGAGAGTTATTTTGTTCAAGATAATTATGCTCCACTCTCGCCAGACATGATAACGTATGGCACCAATGAAAGGGAACGGGAGATAAAATAAGGAAAGGAAAGATAGAGAAAGGAAGGTAAAATATTATATCTTGTTTGGAAGTTTAATGAAGGTGTTGATGTATGGAAGCACACAGTTAAATAATATGAGTTAATTAAATTGATGGAGGTCAACTCTCC